CCCTCACCCTCCTCCCCTGTTCCATTCTAGCCTCTAGAATACCCCACCCCCACCCCCAGCCATCACCCAAAGAATTTTATTCTAACCCAACCCACAAACCGTTAGTCCTACCATTCAAAGTTAGCACGGTAAATGATGTTATAGAGAATATTTTAGCTCGTCAGAAACAACTCTACCAGAAAAAAAATTAGTCTTCAAAGTGTAATGTGATACCGGGATAGTCCAAGCGTGAAATAGGACATGGGAATTTTAATGCAGTATTATCACATTAATGACTGTCATGTGGGATCAAAGCAATCAGCAAGTGTAAAAAGGTTAAAACTCTGTTGCGTGTTTGGCAGACTGGCACTAAAGAATCAAGCGCTTATCAATTTCTGGGCGTTTATTATTATAGAGGTCTTCGTATTGCCTTGAAGCTTGTTCATGTGTCTTATTTTACATCAAATCCTCTTGAAAACTATTTGAGATATTTTAAATTGAGGGAGGTGGGGGTCGTCTGGCGTAAGAGACAAAATTAGCAAGAAAATAGCAGCCAACGTTTGTTGATTTCGAAAGCTTAACTAAGTGTCTTTGGAAAATGCAAGTTTACTTTTATATGCCATTTATCAACGTTTCCTCTAATAATATGCACACAGAAATGTGTTTTTTAATGGATATAAAAGATGTTACGTCCCCATCCCTCCTAAAACTCCTAACAACCAAAATAAATAAATTTAAAAAACAACAATATAAACAACCAAACAATATCAAACATCCCCGAAAAACAAACATTTAAAAAACAAACGAATTAAATAAAACATAATGAAATAAACATTGCCAAATGGGTGGAAAAAAACGGCATGAATTCACCACGATGCCATCTGAAAAATTAAAAACTTATGCTGGAGGAAGCATATTAAAAAGTATGCAGGAAACACGAGCTTAGCGAAAGCAGGGCTTGAAATGAAATGCACGCTGTCGCTGTTTCAAGCTATCTACTTAATTCCAAATTTTGGTACGTACTCGCATCTTTGAGAAAAGGATTAACAAAAATGTTTTTTATAATGCTATATACATGTATATATACATTTTTAAAGTGTTTTTCGGCGCTCGCAGCTGCATAAGGATGTGTGAACGTACGGAACACATTAACAATTTTCAGTTTGATTCAAATTTATTTTAAATTTTTGCCCGGGGGACAGCCAAAGCCTACTATTCGCGATTTGGACCACATAGGGATCTTAAACGTGCGCAACGTAAATAAAGGACCTACGAGATTTTTCGTCCTTATCCGAGAAGTCTAGGTATTAGATCCTATAAACCCTAATAATCAGGGATCAGGGGTGTGGCAGAAAGGCAGCAGTGAGAAGGAGCCAGTGATTAGCAGTAGACACAGTTAGGAACCCAAAGGAGGGGAACAGGATGGGGGTGGAGGATGGGGAGGCAGAAAGTGGAGATGAAAGCAGATGATAGAACATGGTTAGAAAGCAGGAAATAATTTGGAGGGAAACAATTTTAGAGAAGAATTTTTTCCCCGTCTCTGTCAGGTTTCGAAAGTGGGACATTTTAAATTTGAGGCGACCCCGTACCTCGAGACAACGAGACCCACACAGAAAGAGGGGATAAAAAGATTCAATCCAACACAAAAAAATGCTAGCAGCCTGAGCTGCCAAATAAAACACTGCCAAGAATTGTCTAGTGGGTTTGCAGGGCAAGTCTGGTTTTAAAAGGGTTAATTAAAACAGAGAATGTGTAATGACGTTGAGCGACCTCCGGTTCCTGCAACTCATGAGGGTTAATAATTTCACTTTTTAACGAGCTGACCATTGTGTGACAATAGCTCTTGAAACTCAATACCATTCATCCAGTACTTTTTAAAATTAAAGGGGTAGCTGTGCTGCTGTTAATCATTTAGAGCTGACTCAGCATCTGCAGGAGCCAACACGTTTTTTACGTTCTACTTTCGCCTTCCGCTGAAGCGTGACTGTGAGTACGTCACAGGATCCATAACTCACGAAGACCGTTGGGTTGTGGCAACAGTGAGAGGTGCCAATGAATAGCGGGCCCACAACGAATTTATGAGTGGTATCGCAGTGAAATGAAACGCTTGTCAAGGTCATGAAACCAACAAAATCAGCATTTTTTCGTCTACTGTACATTTTTTTTCATTTTTCCTTCTTCTTCTTCTTTTTCTTCTTTTTCTTCTTCTTCTTCTTCTTCTTCTTCTTCTTCTTCTTCTTCTTCTTCTTCTTCCTCTTCTTCTTCTTCTTCCTCTTCTTCTTCTTTGTTTGTTTTTTCGTGCTCTTTTACATCTGACACCAAGCTACCTACACCTCGTTGAACAATCATGTGTCGACGTCTATTTAATATAGATGGTTTTTTAAAAATTAACCTTCAAAGAACGACAAATTAATTAGCTTTTAAAAAAAATTCATTCTGAAAACTCCAACTGAAGAGCGCCTGAATCAACCGTGTTATGAATAAATTCATAGAATGGACCAATGTTACTATCAGTTTGGTTTTGACCCCTCACTTGTTTGATACGACACAGCCTCAATCTTTCTGGCAGAATTATGAATCTAACTGGGCAGTAAAAGATTCAGGTTTCTCAAGCAAAAATATAACTTGCCAGCTGTGTCATCATTACGTGAACTCCACAGTTTCTTGCATTATGTCATAAGCAAGACGTGTATCTCTCAATAACCAACAAGTGTATAACTTTTTCTGGATAATTCTTACATGCAGAGGAAGCTAGTTCGTTTTCCGCGTTGGAAGAGCGTTATGTTTTAAAATTGAGTATCCCTGTTTATGTCACAGACCATGCGCGGTTCGTTCATTGGGCAAGACCGGCGGCGCCGGTCAGTTTTTGTCGGCTGTACAGTGGACAAGAGATTGATTGCTGACGATAATTGTTATTTAGTTTCAAGTACGTAAATACACATTAATATCTAATCAACGTTCAGAAAACATTCGCCGATTTGAAGGCGCTCTGAGAAACAATAGTGGTTCTTTGGTGTGTTGTCGCACTACAAAGACCTTTTCCTTCATCTTTTGTTTATCACGCCGGCTCGTATGTTAAATAGCCCATCCACGGCTTACTAGATAATTTTAGCAAGCCCTGCGCCCATCACAATGTGAAACTTATCTGCGCGAGGCGCGAGACCTTTCCGAACAGCGCCCGCACGGCGGAGACGTCAGCCTCCGGGCGAATTCACTTTTGCCCAGAGAACCAACGAGACAGCTTCAAATTGCCAATTGGCCTCTCTGTTACTTACAAAGGAAGGACACGCCTGCAGTACAAATACATATCATATTACATAATTTATTTAGTTACATTCATCATTCAACCTGTCTCTTATTACTGCTTGTACATCAAGTGTTAGCATAATTATTTCTATTGCGTTTTAAGCCACCCATGGTTCTGTTTTGTGTTTTCTTCCTCACCTACTTCCCCGAGTTCCCTTACTTGGCCAGGACCCTGGGCCGGCGATCCTTTGTTCCGGCCAGTCATGTTATAGAGGGAATTTTAACGAGGAGAGAGCAGCGCCCCACGTTCGGCTGTCAGTGTCCTGGCCTAAAACAGTACACCCTCCTCCTCCCTCGCCCTTTTTCCCTTTCCCCTTTTTCCCCTTTCCCCCTTTCCACCTTCACCCCAGCTAGACTCTAATTTCAAAAATTAGCATTTGACACAGTTCTCTTAGAGCAGTGAACTGAGAGAAGAGAACAGCAAAGAAGAGAAGAACCTTTGAATCGGTCCGGAAATTATGGGTTAAATTTGTTCAATGTGTACGTGATTGTGAGTCTAGTACAGTGAAAGGTATTGACAGCACACATGTTTTATATTTTTACATAACGAGTGAACGTCGAGACTTTGCGTGAGTGTGTGTGAAAAGTAGGTCTTTGGGTGATGTACAGGGGGCAGGGCTAAAAAGTGGTTGCTTCTAACTTTCAGTTTGTTTTCTAGTATACCGTAGAAGTACATTGTATTTCTTGTTCCGTGTCGATCAAGTCAGATCTAACCGTATTATATTGGCCTCAAGTTCAGTCTATGTCTTGAAGCTCAGATTTACATTTTGAAGTTTGTAACGCCATGGATTTTCTTCTACTACGAGTCGTAAACCCTTTTTATATATTACCCCCCCCTCTCTCTCTCTCTCTCTCTCTCTCTCTCTCTCTCTCTCTCTCTCTCTCTCTCTCTCTCTCTCTCACCTACCCATCCAACTTCCCCCCCACACACACACGCACAAAATACCTAAAGTGTACTGGTAATTATAAAATTGACCGTCTGTCTGTCCGTCCGCCTGTCTGTCTGTCTGTCTGTCTGTCTGTCTGTCTGTCTGTCTGTCTGTCTATCTGTCTGTCTGTCCGTCCGTTTGTCTGTATGTCGTCCTGTCTGTGTGTTGTAGGGGTGAAGTTCTGAGGCGAGGGGGAGGGGGAGGGAGAAGGGGAGGTATCGATGGAAATTAACAGCCGGTCAGTTCTACAAACCACCAGCCGCCCCTGCCCCAGACTGTGTCCTTCCTAGCCCTTGTTGGCCCTGACAGGATCGAAGCAAACCATCTATAACTGACCTAATATACTATGTAAATGGAGATGAAAAAAACGTCTAATTATCAATATTATGAACCTATTTATATTACACCCACACATTCACACACACACACACACACACACACACACACACACACACACACATACACACACACACACACAACCACACACACACACACACACACACACACACACTTATGCACGCACGCACACAAACATATATTATATTGTGTATAATTATATCATAGTAGGGCTCAAGGCATCAAGGGCATAGAGGGTAGGCTGACCTGTGAAAAGGATTCTCGCGATCATTCCTGGGAAAACAAGCAGGAACACAGGAAGTAACTTGAGGTAGCCACACAGCAAAATGCCAGCTTTACCGTGGGTGTAAGTACGTCCTGCCAAGGCTCTTTGAACCATCAGCTGTTTAAAGGAATAACAAAATGTACATCATTGTGTCAGAAATTTAAACAACAACAACAACCACAAACAACAGAGCAAGAGATTTTCAAAACTACTGGTCAGGGTATACAGTAATTGTCCCCCTTGAGGCTAGATAGAGTTGAGGAAAATAGGATCGTTACTATTATTACCAAATGAGAAGCATCGCGGTAAAGTCAAACTATCGTCTACTTTTCCTCTATTTTTTCATCCTGTGCTGCCGTTAAGCGTTGGGTGAAGATGCAGTTTTCTGTGGTAGGCCCAGGGGCGAAGCGTTTATATAATCAAATAATCACTGCTTCCCTTTCTAATTTTGAAACTTTTTCGCTGTCAAATTCATCCTTAAACGTAAACCTCATAAATTAAATGTAAAAAGACGTTCGTAACCAACAACGAACAGTATGCCTAACATTCAAAACGGTTTCATGGCCACAGGAATAGCCTCCTCACCCCTCTCGGGCCACTCCATAAGCAGTCGCAAGCTTTGATTTAAAAGTAAACTTAAAGTGAGGCTGAAATAGAGTTGAAGGGAACATGTGCATGGCAGTCAAAGCTGTTTCATTGCCACATATACCCTGTTCACCCCTTTGGGGCCACAGTTAAAATCAATCACAAGCCCTGATTAAGTAAGCTAACTAACACTGGTCGAGTCTACCTGACAAATGTGAGGGGAACTAACTCTTAATAATCTCTTGACTGCTGCTTGTGCTTGTTTTTTTTCCTCGACTTTTTACCGTCCCTATAATCAGATCGTGACCTCGATTATGACACCAGCTCCTGGCCGCCAAAGGCTAACAAAAACAGCCAAATGTGAAATTTAAAAAATAATAATTGTCATGTTCTACCAAAGAGTTAGACCACCCTCTCTGGCTAGACTCACTGGTAGATCTATAACATATAGATCTAGTACTGACATCTCTGCTTCTTTGCTTAGTGTTTATGTATTCACATCTAAAGTTAAGTTTAATTTTAGTGGGAACTGATATTTAATAAGATACTTTCCCGATTATTTTGGCGGTTGAACATACAATATGAATTCAGGATTTGTTTTCATTCACAACTCAGAGTCGCCTCGCCGCCTCGAGTAAGATTCTTGTGTGATATCTACAGGCCATATCTGGTCCCATTTCACTTTGATTACCATGTCAAACAAGTCAGCCTTCGCCCCTGGGTAGGCCAAATCTGCAGTCGTTGTTTTGTTTCAATTGGGGTTTTATAATTTCTGAAGCGTGGCCTACCTCTTCTTTTATAGCCTTTGTACTTGATGGTATAGGCTCTCGAGGCTGGCTTGGTGACATTTATTGTAACATGTAGTCGAAGTACTGCGTTAAGTTTTTATATGAAATGCAAATATTGATTTTTAAAAATATTGAAGTGATAAGCTATCTCTTCGTGTCCAAGGATGAGTTTGGATGAGAAAGTAGGGGTACGAGGTGGTAGATGCAGTGTAGGCTTTTGAGTTCGCATTTCTATTTCTGTCTATGTACCTGTTGTCAGAAAAAGTGATGCCAAGATAATTATTTAAACTCCTACACCTGTCTCAGTTGTTTGCTATTGACATGGGTGTTCATGGGACTAAGGGTTCAGCTCACTTTCATAACGTACGTTTTTGATGTCCTAATTTATTGTAAGATTTCACACAGATGAATAAGACACTGGTCGTTTGCAAGCAGACGTTTATTTTGGCTTTTCGGGCTTTGGTTTGCGTCTTGCATTATTGTGTCCCTATATTTTTAAAAGAAGAGGAGATAATTACATCTCTGTCGTACTCTAAATCTTACTTTAAACCAATCTGTATTGCCTTCCTTTGCTCTTACCAAGCCCTCTGATGCTGGTGTGTAGAGCTCTGATATTGTCTAACGTTGTTCTTTGACGCCACACCTTTTCTGTGTCTTCTATAGTTTGGCATGGATTACTCTGTCCCACACTTACCGATCTTTAATGGAATACGTAGGATACACTACACTATCTCAAACGTTTTATTCCCTTACTTTGAGATCTTTGCTTTTATATACAGGAGTGATATTATTTACTGTGGTGTATCTTTTATATATGTGAGGCAGCGTGGTGGAATCAGGCTCTCGTCAAAATAATTAAAGTGAAGAAACTTGCTTTTTTCTGCAGGTTTGTGAACTTTTATCAAATTTTTGTTTTTTGGCTCAACACCTTTCATGCTCATTAAAGAACTCATTTCTGTGCGGATTTTTATGAAAAACGTTGAATAAAGGCACAAAAAAATGTAAATTTTCAGTTACCACGGACTCTTTAGCTAAGGATATAACTAATCTTTGGCGGCCATTTTCTCACTAATTTGACTTTTGAAAACAAGTGATCCCCACCTCCTTCTTTTGCACATATCTCGACTTGTATTCAAGATAAATTGATATTTCTTTCATCAAAATAAAGACAAGTGAACAAGTTTTAAGATGATACCAATAATTGTACATGCCCAAAAATTGACGAGAGCCTGATTCCACCACGCTGCCTCACATATTATTTCCCTTTCTGTTCCCTAATCAATTTTATGTAACTTCACATCCTCCAGTCCGGTTTTTTAGTGGCATACACAAATATTACTGTGGGCTAAATTTTGTCGTAAAGAGATACTTTGCATTATCGTCAGAAATATTCATGCATATAATTATAACCGTACTTGGTTCTAGGTAGATACAAAATGTTTTACATGTATCATACTATTGGTCAGCTATCTGAAAAGCATTCCCATTTTAATCGATTGAGAGGCAAATAAAAGTTGAGCCTGTACTAACATTACTCAAAATATCGTTTCAAAACAAGTAATTTTCTTGGATTAAAAGTATTTTTTTAAAGGATTAATGTCAATACAACTATTGAGGCAAAAAATATCTGCCGTTGATATTATTTTGTTTTCGTTGGTGTCATCAATTTGCCAGAGCCGTACCTGGTCCGAGCACCAGTACCACAGAGAGTTGATGTTTAATCCCAAAATTCCAGGCCAGGGAAGATCCCCACTGGAAGCATCACGAAACAAGTTCATGTAGTCACTGCGGGGTATGCCACACGTGTCGTTGCCATGTAAAGTAGAGTTAGGGATGGCTTGGGGGTACTTCTCCACCATCGCGTTGAACCCCCCGACTTCTTGGAAACCTAAGTAAAGATGATAATGATATCTACAACAATAATATTTATAACGTCATTAATGATGATGATAATTCTAATGATGATGATGATGATGATGATGATGATGATGATGATGATGATGATGATGATGATGATGATGATGATGATGATGATGATACGGTAAAAGTAACGCATCCTCCCCAACCCAATCTTCAAAATGAAAATCGGCTTTCGCGCATGTCATCAGTCCGACCTGAATGTGACCTCACGATGAGCTGAGGCCCTAGATGTGCGCACTAGGTCAAAGAAGTTCCAAATGGAGGGTTGAGGTTTACTTTATTAGATATCATTTATCTAAAAATGGTTTTAAATTATTGTAGATCTGTTTAAGCTCCAATCAACATAACAGATCAGGTTAGGAGGCAGGCTGCTTCAGCCCTGCTTGTCAGGGCCAGCTGGGGCCATTGGTGTATTGGCAGCCGACATCCGATTGCAAAGAAGGATATTAATACACCATTTTATAGACTTGTCTTTAGGGTGGAACGGCGAAGGGCTTAACTAAAGATTAAATCAAAACAAAACAATAGAAACTGCCTGTCTCAATCATCAGCACAATAATATCATACTTGAAGCAAAACTGCATGTGGACAAAGTCAAATTTCATCATGATTTCAAGATACAAGGACAATGTCTAACTTTAATTCTCAGATTATGTCTCTTACGCTTTGGAAAGCAAAATGCCACCTAACTTTTCAATGAAATGCGTAATAGTATACACGATTATGTTAATAAAGAGGCAGGCCTCCGAATGCAATGTCCATGTTCGAAAGGACCAAGCCAAAACAGAAATGTGGATGTGTAAAGTGCCTTTCCAACGGACACAGCGTGGTACCGAGCAGAGGCTCGAATCCCCGAACCATCTTTTCATTTTTACATTCTACTTACTAATAACCATAAGAACAAAAGCGCCAACCAGCATGATGATGGTCTGTATAAAATCTGTCCAAATCACGGCAGTGAGCCCGCCAGCAATGGTGAACACAGCGGCTACACTGAGCAGGAGGGTGATGGCGCTGTAGATGTCCCAGTTGAGAGACTGCTCGATGAAAATGGCGCCCGAGTATATGTCAGCCTGAAGATGGAAAACAAGAAGTAACGTTAATGCTATTTTTCGCCCCCTATTGACTCGAAGATGGAAAACGAATTAACGTTAATGCTATTTTTCGCCCCCTATTGACTCAGTTTTCATCTTTTAAGAGACAGGCTGGGGAAACTCGTCGGGGAGGAATCATCATCATCCAGTGCCATATCTGCGACAGACATCGGCGATCATGGTTCTCCATTCATTCCTTTGCTCGGATGCTCTCAAAAAAGCTACGTTTCCCTGATCTTTCCCTGTTACCTATTTGTTTAGGTTCCACAAGTATGTTGTTCTGGGCCTTCCCCTGTCTCGCTTGCCCTCAATTTTGCCAGTGAGAGCTTCAAGACCCTTATGTCTATTTATGTGTCCCAAAAACAAACTGCATTTGTCGTTTCCTGATTGTTTTAAATACTGAGCGTCCCACGTGGGATTCATCAAGCACTACCTCATTTGATTTCTTTTCCTTCCACGCTACTCTTAGCAGTCACCTAAGAAACCACATTTCTGTTGCTTCTATTTTATTTTCACTGTCTTTAGTGATTTTCCAGCATTCACAGCCATATAAAAGGGTTGACCAAACATAGCATTTCAGAACGTTCCTTTTGGGAATACCATACCCCAATTAAAAAAACCGAGATGCTCGATAAAAGTTTTCTCCCTTCTCGGGAATCGAGCTTGGGTCTCCTGTGTACGACAGTGAAGCGCCTAACTACTACACCACCGACCCTGGTTTGAAAAAGGTAGGAAACAATAGGGCTTATAAGTTGGGACAATGGAGGAGAGAATAGAAAAAGGGATAAAAGTTAACTTCAGCTCTATATTAAAAAATCGCTTGACCGACAATGAATATCTAAGCTCCCCATTCTCCGAACTTACTTAATCTCCCTTTTACTTTGTCCCTGTTTCCCTTTTTCCTTTTTATAGCCTCTATTACTATGTGATATTAAAGGGAGTCTCAAGCAAATGCCATTTTCCAATGTTTTGTATCCACTGTTGTATTGTTCTGTTGTTCTTGTCTTATGTTTCTCATACATCTCCATTCATAATTTCTTGGGCCTACTGTTTCTCTTTTTCTATCTGATCTCGGTGTGCATGCTGCTGTACTGTCTGGCAGTTGTGTTGGCAGATGCCCAAACCATTAATTGATTCGTTTACACGCTCCGTGGAGCCCACAACTGGCGCCGTGCCGTTATCTGTACGAGACGCTTATAAATTACAATTATTGTATTTTAGCAGTGGTTGGGGCGAAAATGGGGTTGGGGTGTGTGTGTGTGGGGGGGGGGGGGGGGGTTCAAGCAGACTTCTACCGTGGAACATCAGGAGTAGTGGATTGATAGAATGGGGCTGGTGTAGTTTGAGAGCGGAGGGGGTGGCTCATGATGCAAGGTACGGTTTGTATAAGCATCTCCTGCCCTGAAATTACAGTAAAATTATCGTGTGGTGATTAAATATTTAGAACACTGGGAACAGTTAATCATACGGTCAAGAGGAATTACGTGACAGATTCTCCAGTCCGAGATATGCTACACGGATGTTTTAGTTTGTTCTTTTTGCTATTGTTGAGGTTATTGCTTTTACTGTGTCAGTGTAGCTGTGTAACTAATGATTCTGTTTACTGCAATTGCAATCTTGTTTCGGTTTCCTTTTCTTCGCTTTTCAAGCTTCAGACTATGCCCGGGGGGAAAAGGGGAGGGAGAGGGGGTGGGGGCTGTCAGCGAGGACCAGACAGGAAGAAATGAAGGAAGACAGAAATGCAAAAATCACAAAATCAACATCGAAAAAGAAATTAAAATGAGTTTCCACTAAAAATGTTTAACTCACCGATATCTTCGTGAAAATGTACATGAGTTGAGTAAGCATGGCCAGATAGACTTGTATCCGAATGCCTCCAAATCTGTACTGCAGATATTGCGGCATTGTGAAGATCTGTTTGATAAACAAAAACATTTCCTAATAAGATAACGTTACATTTAAGTGATTAATTTTGAAGTTTTTTTAAAATCAACATACTTTTTTGTCATTTACGGACAAAACCAATAGCAAAAAAGTTAATTATGATGTACTCTCAAAAAGAAATAACGTTTGTTTGCCAATAATGCAAACCTCTGTGGCAGGGAATAAGGGAATATAAAGATGGTCCTGCCATAGAGAGGACTTATAAATAAAAATATTATTCGGGGTTTTTACTGGTGAAATAGCTTGCTTGTTTGGGGGGGGGGGGGGGGGTAATTGCTTTTGTTTTAATTTGGGGATGTTACTTGAGTTTCGTAACTTCAACTTTCAGAACCCTATAGTAGAGTTAATTTACAAATTAATAAACGAATGTATTCGTAAATGAAACTTACCCCGGAAGATATGTACACAGGTAGGAAAACGAACGCCATTAGGATCAAGATGAACGTGGTCTGTAAGATGTTGGGTATGAAAATATAGAAACAAGAAAAGAGTAAAGGAAACATGGCGTCGGTGGTCTAGTTGTTAGGCTACCGGACTCATAATCCTGAGGTTTCGGGTTCAGGGGTCCGACGTTGTGTCCTTCCTTGGGAAAAGCCCTTTACACAAATGCTCCTCTCTTCACCCGGGTAGGAATGGGTATGCATCCATAGACAGCTAATGATCTTGTCAGCAAGTTAGTGTTTTAGCGAATAAGGAATGTTAGCTTGCACTGTTTGCTTCTCATTAAGTTTAGATAGTCTCAGAATGCTTTCAGGTCTGCTGGTGTAATGATACAGATTGTAAGGTGCATAGATCTTGCAGTTGAGTTGAGTGGAAATTTGCGCTAAACAAATGCGCTCTATAATGCTATCTATTGTTTTATTATTATTATTATTATTATTATTATTATTATTATTATTATTATTATTATTATTATTATTATTATTATTATTATTATCATTATTAGAAGCTAAAGGTTCAGAACGGGGCTGAGAGAGAAAGGAAGCATCATAGGGATTTATCGGGAGTGGGATTTTGCAGTGCACAATTTTTTCACTCCGGGTCTACCAAACGTTAGCATTGGGTAAAGGCATGCTTCACATATACCTACAGGAATGCATAATACACCATTGTACTCTTTTGTACTTGAGTTTAGTAAGAGTTTTACGGCACTCACAACATAATAAGGTCATATGAGTGCCGAAGCTTAGAGGTGCTACTAGAGAGTAACCATAGATGTACACTATACGTTTAAAAGGGGGTAACTCTATGAGAGTAACCAACATAAAAAAGAAGGAGGGGTGATCAGGACGATAGATGTTTTAAAGGAAAGAAGGAGTAAACCATACCAGAGCACCCGCCAACCACCCACTCTCATATGTAGTCTGACCACAAGCAATCTAAATAACGCAGAAAGTAAAAAGCAACTTTTATTAACTCTCCTGAATAATTACATAAGGGAACGGTAGCAGGTGCAAAGAGGGTAGTGTAATTTAATTACATTTCCAAATGCTCCTCACGACATCAATTAGTGTGACCCTTCCCTTGCACTGTAAAACAACAAAACAATTTTTTTTAAAGAACGCGCAGTAGCACATAATAACTAACACACACACA